GGAATACCACCAGGACAGGAATCCCAAGTAAAGATGAGTGAGGTCAGAATACTGAAAGGACAGGAATCCCAAGTAATAAAGAGTGGGGCCGGAATACCACCAGGACAGGAATCCCAAGTAAAGAAGAGTGGGGCCGGAATACCAAAAAGACAGGAATACCAAGTAAAGATGAGTGAGGCAGGAATACCACCAGGACAGGAATCCCAAGTAAAGATGAGTGAGGCCAGAATACCAAAAAAACAAGAATCCCAAGTAAAAAAAAGTGAGACTGAAATACCAAAAAGACAGGAATCCCAAGTAAATAAGAGTGAGATGGGCACACCACAGGGACAGGAAGCACAAGTGAAGAAGAGTGAGACTAGAATGCCAAGAAAACAAGAATCCCAAGTAAAGATGAGTGAGGTTGGAATATCAAAAAGACAGGAATCCCAAGTGAAGAAGAGTGAGGCAGGAATACCACAAGGACAAGAATCCCAAGTAATAAAGAGTGGGGCCAGAATACCACCAGGACAAGAATCCCAAGTAATAAAGAGTGACACTGGAATACCAAAAAGACAGGAATCCCAAGTAAAGAAGAGTGACACTGGAATACCAAAAAAACAAGAATCCCAAGTAAAGAAAAGTGAGACTGAAATACCAAAAAGACAGGAATCCCAAGTAAAGAAGAGTGACACTGGAATACCAAAAAAACAAGAATCCCAAGTAATAAAGAGTGGGGCCGGAATACCACCAGGACAAGAATCCCAAGTAATAAAGAGTGACACTGGAATACCAAAAAGACAGGAATCCCAAGTAAAGATGAATGAGGCCAGAATACCAAAAAAACAAGAATCCCAACTAAAGAAAAGTGAGACTGAAATACCAAAAAGACAGGAATCCCAAGTAAAGAAGAGTGACACTGGAATACCAAAAAGACAAGAATCCCAAGTAAAGAAGAGTGAGACTGAAATACCAAAAAGACAGGAATCCCAAGTAAAGAAGAGTGACACTGGAATACCAAAAAGACAGGAATCCCAAGTAAAGAAGAGTGACACTGGAATACCAAAAAGACAGGAATCCCAAGTAAAGAAGAGTGACACTGGAATACCAAAAAGACAGGAATCCCAAGTAAAGAAGAGTGACACTGGAATACCAAAAAGACAGGAATCCCAAGTAAAGAAGAGTGACACTGGAATACCAAAAAGACAGGAATCCCAAGTAAAGAAGAGTGACACTGGAATACCAAAAAGACAGGAATCCCAAGTAAAGAAGAGTGACACTGGAATACCAAAAAGACAGGAATCCCAAGTAAAGAAGAGTGACACTGGAATACCAAAAAGACAGGAATCCCAAGTAAAGAAGAGTGACACTGGAATACCAAAAAGACAGGAATCCCAAGTAAAGATGAGTGAGGCCAGAATACCAAAAAAACAAGAATCCCAAGTAAAGAAAAGTGAGACTGAAATACCAAAAAGACAGGAATCCCAAGTAAAGATGAGTGAGGCTGGAATACCACCAGGACAGGAACCCCAAGTGAAGATGAGTGAGGCTGGAATACCACCAGGACAGGAACCCCAAGTGAAGATGAGTGAGGCTGGAATACCACCAGGACAGGAACCCCAAGTGAAGATGAGTGAGGCTGGAATACCACCAGGACAGGAACCCCAAGTGAAGATGAGTGAGGCTGGAATACCACCAGGACAGGAACCCCAAGTGAAGATGAGTGAGGCTGGAATACCACCAGGACAGGAACCCCAAGTGAAGATGAGTGAGGCTGGAATACCACCAGGACAGGAACCCCAAGTGAAGATGAGTGAGGCTGGAATACCACCAGGACAGGAACCCCAAGTGAAGATGAGTGAGGCTGGAATACCACCAGGACAGGAACCCCAAGTGAAGATGAGTGAGGCTGGAATACCACCAGGACAGGAACCCCAAGTGAAGATGAGTGAGGCTGGAATACCACCAGGACAGGAATCCCAAGTGAAGATGAGTGAGGCTGGAATACCACCAGGACAGGAACCCCAAGTGAAGATGAGTGAGGCTGGAATACCACCAGGACAGGAATCCCAAGTGAAGATGAGTGAGGCTGGAATACCACCAGGACAGGAACCCCAAGTGAAGAAGAGTGAGATCGGCGAACTGCAAAGACAGGAATCCCAAGTGAAGAAGGAGAGTTCTGAGGATAAAGGAAAGGAGGGCAAAAAAAGGGAGGGAGATGCAGAGAAGGATCAAGATAAAGAAGGAAAAGATGCTAAAAACAAGAAAGGTGATAAAGGAAAGAACAAAGTTAAAGAAAAGAAAGGGCCAGAACTGAAGGGTAAAAAAAGAGAAGGCTCAGTAAAGGGCAAAGGCAAATAAAGGAAGTGTGACAAAAAGGCGGAAGAGCGAGGATTAATAAAAGGCCCTATGACAACTGTTCATTATGATTCCCATCCTCCAAATACAAACCATATCCCAGCGATTGCCTAGAGTGTAATTACAAAACCCCTTTAATCCATATGTCTGCAGAGTTTCTGCTCTTTAGAGGTTTCACCATTTTTAGACCTCTCAGCCACAAACCTCAGCTGCCAAATGTTTGTTTTAGAAATTGATACATGTGTTCTGTCAAGAAAGACTGGATACTTCCTGAAATAAAACAATTTTGATTAAAGAAATGCATAATAATTTCCTTCGACAAGTATCTCTGTGATAGCCTACCTAACTAATAAACCAGTACCTCCTCGTCGTGGGCCTAACGTTTGGAAGGCACTGTCCTAGCAATCAGTGGAAGATACACATCAACATCCCTGCAGTCAAGTAGCTTGTAACATATACAGGGATACGTTTAGATAGACAATATAATAAGAGCTCAGGGAACATCTAGGGATAAGAAAGTAAAGGCAGTAGCTTTAGGGGGGCAGGAGGCAATTTTGCTATCACAGCAAACTCATGGAAGGCTTTCCGGGGTATAGATTAAAGAAGAGAAACATCATAGGTAGCAAATCTAGTTAAGAGGTGCTTGGAGTAAGTGATGAAAAGAGTTTAAATAGAAGGGACAGCTATGAGATATTTTTTCAAAGAAGAAACACTACTTCATGATAACTGACTGCATACGAGTAAGGAAGAGAAAAAAACAAAAAAATAGATGACTCCAGAACTTTTGAAACTAGGTAGCAGGAAATGGGTAACAAACTAGGAGCTAGTTTGTGTGACAGGGAGGGAATAACGAATTATGGAGTTTAGGGAGATAAATAATAAGACTTGTCTTTCAAGAGCAGTCTGGAGGTAGTTGAATAGAGGTAGCAATTGAATCCATCAGAGTCGATGAGCTCTCCAAAGGAGAAAGTAAAGGGCTGGCAAAAGCAGAACTCCAAGAACTGAGCTTGTGATATGTCACTTTAACAAGAAAGTTAACTAAAGGATGGGAAGATATAAGGAAAAGCTGTATAATGGAATGCTCTGATAATTAAGATGAGAGTTTCAAGAAGAATGTATGATTAAAGGATGGCTGAGACTTTAAGGAAAATAAGGACTGAAAGAGACCATTGTAGTTGCTAGTTGGAGATGCTGGTAACAAGAACTTTCCAAAGAAAGGTGCCTAGGAGAAGGAAGTTAAGCAAACAGAATACAGAAACACAAGTAAGGGGCCGGCCCGGTGGTGCACTGCTACAGTGCGCCGCTTGGGAGCGCGGTGGCCCTCCCGCCGAGGGTTCGGATCCCACATACCGGCCGCTCACTGGCTGAGCGAGGTGCGGGCGCAACACCGAGGGTTGCGATCCTATTGCCGGTCCCGGTCCGGTAGGGGCGCGACACTGAGGGTTGCGATCCGTTGCCAGTCACGAAAAAAGACAAAAAGGAAAAAAAAAAAAAAGAAACACAAGTAAGTAGCCACAGAATGTGCCTTCCAAAAAAGTTAACTAATTTTAGTCTGCTTTAAAAGTATAGTTTTTAGGAATTTTATTTTCATACTGCTCTATTCTGTGCTGATTAGCCCAAACCCTGAATATTACATTCAGTTCTGTCATGGGATGTGGATAAAGTGCCTTCAGGAGAGAAAGACTCAAGAGAGCAGGAAGTTGCACATTTCACCTGGGGGGCGGGTTGTTGAGGGGGAGGAACATATAATGAAAAAATAAGAATTATTTGTAAATATATGAAGCCTCATCATGGATTTTGTATGGCCCCAAGGAAATAATACCAGTGAATGGAAGGTACAGGGTAACAGATTTTATCTCAGTTATAAGGGAAGTAGGACCAAAGAATTTAAGCAAGTGTTTAAGCAAAACCAAAAGATGCAAGAGTTTAAGGCTGCAAGATCATTCAGTAAGAATGCTACAGAGGAGATCCTTAAGAAACAGCTGAGTAATTGGAATAAAGTATCTTTATGGTTCCTTCCAAAGCTGAGAGTCTATAATTCAAAGTATAAAATTCTTTGGACTAAGTAGATGTCTTCCAAGGAAACTTTTCACACTGGTATGCTATGATACGTTGGAAAATTTGACAAATAAAGGAGAGAAATCAGACTTTAGTTCCTGTTCAAAATATAAAATATTTCATAAATGTTTCATACTACCCAACCACAACCTTAAAAGAGTAGCTGCACAGCTTCTAGCACAAGCCAAACCACTGTGCCATGTGCTCACAGCCCTGCTGCAGGTACAGAACTCTATGTTAATTTTAGAAGTTACAGAATCCTCAGGCCTCCCTGAGCTACGTAGATTTAGTAAAACTGAATTGCCAAAAAAAAAGGAGGGGGGAGGAGGAAGAACAAATAATGAACATGGAATTTTTATATCGTAAGTTACTTTTACGTCTCTGGAATATACACACTAAGAGATTTTATCAGCTTTAGTTGACTTATTTCTTGCACACATTATGCTGTTATTGGAGAATGTGTGAACAGAAGGTTTTTCATATAGTTAAAAGTATTCAGATTTTCATGATCCTCATGTCATTTTTTTCTATAGCTATCTCTGGTCCATCTGGCAGCTAACAGGTTTTAGAAGGCTATGATAAATGCAGCCTCTTTCGGACTTGTGCTAAGAAGAGGGAACTTGTCAAAACAGCTACTAAAAAACAGTAGATAAGACTTCAGCAACCCAGTTCAGCTGAATGCTGTCTGTGTGTATATCCCACTGAACCAAGGACCCAGAAGAGATGCATCTATAGAAACCTCTCTGTATCCTCACCACAACTTCTAACTTGAGGTCAAAACATTTTCACTCCCATTTGGTCTTTGAAGGCAAAAAAAAGTCATACAATAGGAAACTCCAACCATGAGAACTTTCTGAATCATTCTCTAAAGGCCACCATAAAACAGGCCAGTTTAAAACAATTGTTTACCCTCCCTTACAGATACAGGAGTAGAAATCTTAAAGTACCCCAGAAAAAAGAAAGGGAAAAAGGACAAGCTATCAAAATGACACCATGTTTAACAAAATGATGAAAATTATAGAAAAAATGTGTATGCACTCCAACATAGTTGCGAAATTCACTAGCAATCAATGGTAGTAAATTTTGTTTTACAAATAAGCTAAAATAAATGTCAAATGCCCTGTTCACAAGAGTGAACAGAAGCCATACAATTAGTGATTTTACGTTTAGAAGCAGAACATAGGGAAGAAAAGCAGGAAAGTGAGTTTAGAGATAATGAAGCTAAACGAGAAATACAAGAATATTGGGAAATAAACAATGTAAAATCAGTTAGTGTGGCTCCCATCCCAGTTAAAGATTTCCTGGGTTAGTAGTGCATTAAAAATGCAATTTCCCATTTGCCTCCAAATATCTCTTGTCCTGGGTTATAACTGACATACCTAGGAAGTGAATACAGGGAGATAAATACAAATATAAATATAAGAGATAAAAGGGTAAACTGAAAAATTGATGAAAATATTCAGTTTTATATTTGATGAAATTCCATTACTCTCCCCCTTTAGAACAGTCAGGAATAGGAAAAACAACTACTGTTCTTGTGCTCTACCTGAGAGTTTCCGATTATGGTTTTGAAGAAATATAAGCCTATTTTTCTAGCATTTAAGGAATAAAGACATTCTTATCCATCGTCATCCAGAAGCCTGAGCTCCTGCCAAGACTGGGAAGTCAAACCTAAAAGATGCCACACCACAGACTACACATGCTGTAACCCAGGTCTCAATACTTTATTTAAAACGTCATGAAATTTGTCTTTAAAA